TTGCGTTGCACAAATTCAAACATCTGGGTTGTGCTGTTCTGTTGTAAATAAATCTTAACCAATGATTTCTCATTGCATCTACTTTCGGAAGGCCAAATAAAGTGCTTTTGCTTTCGCACAGAAACACACAGCGTCTCCCTGACATGGCTGCATCAACACTACTGTGGTTCCTGAAACCACGCCTTCTTTCTTTGCGTGCACATTTGGGCGGCATTACGCAAATATTTCCACATCGTGATGTAGAGATGTGGGGGCGTGTTTGAATGAGGCATTTTAGCCCGGTCTGGATCAGCCTTCTCTTTTAGATAATAAATCCTTTTGTGGGAGACTTTGAGCTTTGTAACTCTGCAGATCTTATACATGCACAAATAGCTACATTACACTAAAGAAAAGGAAAAATAGAAATCGCATCATATGACCCCTTTAATGTCCCAGCTGTCTTCAGTGTGGCAGCTCCCACCGAGGGATTCCCTGATTGGTCGGTCTGTAAACCAAACCCTTATGGCTCTTCACACTGAATGCTTTACATCAGAAAAGAGCGCTCGGCTCACATAGCCAGTGAAGTATGATAATTATATCAATGATAATGATAAAGACAAAGACCTCTCACAAAACAGGAAAGCCCTTCAAAGACAGGCTTCAAATGAACTGCTGTTACTGAGAATCCCACTGAATGTGGAAACGCACAGCTGTGGGGATCCGAGGCCAGATTCAGATCAGCTCTGACCTAACAGACAATAGAAAGCAATAAGGTCACGACCCCTGATGATCTGCCATTGCACACTGAGGGAGTTTCAGAAAGTCTCTTCCAAAGCAGACAGTGAATCCACTGCAAAAATCATCTTCTCAAGATATATTTTGTATCATTTCTCATTTTTGTCTAGTCAGAATATATAAATTTTCCTTAAACAAGATCAATTTACTTGCACAAGATATGAATAGTTCTTTTTAAGAGTGTATTTTAAATTAATTTTCTTACCTCACTGGCAAATTCAAGATATAATCTTTGGAAAAAAGTCTTAAAAGGCTACGTTTATGTAGTTTTAAATACGTTTCAATATTTTTTTCTGAGACAACAAGACAAAAGTAGATTACAAAGAGCATAAGATGAAATGTAATCGGCCTACATTTTATATTATTGATGGATGGATTCTTTCTAAGAGGAAATTGTGTGATTTACTGTAGTAAATCAATACTTTTAAATATAGGTAACACTGCCACCCTGAGGCCTCAGAATAAAACAGGCCATTTATAAAACCTTACACACTTGTACATTCAACAAAGACAGTTTCACTACTGAATACTGAAAATGTGTCCTATTAGATTTAGCTACTGAAGCTCAAACAAATACAGAATTTATGGGGGTAAGATCACAGAGCCACAGCTGAGTGTAGTGTGTACTAATGTGATCTTTAGTCCAGTAAAGAAGGCATGACCTTCATTTAATTTTAAATCATAGTTGGTATGTAAATATGTGCCTTGGTTGATTAGCTTCAAAGAAATATGTTTTTGAGTGGTTACAAGTGGCTGAGGTTGTAAATGACTGTCGTTTTTATGTTGTCAGTACTAGATATTCAATATTAGAGTGATTTATAAAAGACAAAAAAGTGTATATCTTCATAAATATTTTATTTCCTCCATAGGCATATCTGAAGAGTTTATCACACCCATGTTTAACTTCTATAAAAGCATCGGGGAGCTGCAGATGATGCTAGAGGAACATGCTCTCCTCACCGCTATCACAATCCTCTCACCAGGTCAGCTGATATCAGTCACTTAATGTTTTAAATAATACGTTTCAGAATGCAATGTTAGTTCAGTTAGGGTTAGGGTTGTTAAAAACAGTGTTCTTGTGTTGCCAAAGTTTAGTGCTGATTTGGTGCTCAAAAACATTTCTTATTATTACAATGTTGAAAACAGTTGTGCTTCTTAATATTTTTGTAGATAAATAGGAAATTTAAAAGAACAGCATTCTTTTAAAATAGAAATCTTCTGTAACATTATAAAAATCGGTAACACTTTAGAATAATGGTCCGTTGTTAACAAGTAACTATGCAGGAAGTAATAGGTAGTACTACATTAACACTTAACTTAATACTATTAACTAATAGAGGAGCAAGATTAACTAAGCAGTAAGTAGTAGCAAATTTAGGACAAAGGTAGTTACTTATTAGATATTTGATAATTACTAAAAAAATATATCCTCATTGAGAACTACTTGCGAACTATGACCAGTTAATAAAGAATAACCAATTAATTACTAATCACAACAGTAACGTCTTAAAAGTGAACAATTGGGTTCTTTGTGGAAATTAATTTTTGAATATGATATCCCCCAAATAAGTCGGCTACAGGTTGAAATTGTGACTACTACTCTTACCAAAGGATGGATGTTC